GCGTTCGCATGGCGCCGCCGCCCCATGTCGGCACACCCCTCAGAACTCCACGGAAGGCCCCAATGGCTGCGTCCGCATGGCGACGCCGCTCCATGTCGGCACACCCCTCACACGTTTCGCGGCCCCGTAGGGAGCTCCACGGAAGGCCCCAGTGGCTGCGTCCGCATGGCGACGCCGCTCCATTTCGGCACACCCCTCACACGCTTCCTGGCCCTATAATGAGCTCCAGAAGGCCTCAGTGGCTGCATTCAGTGGCTGCGTTTGCATGGCGACGCCGCCCCATGCCGGCACACCCCTTACACGTTTCGCGGCCCCGTACACGAAGGCCTCAGTGGCTGCGTTCGCATGGCGCCGCCGCCCCATTTTGGCACACCCCTCACACGTTTCGGGGCCCCGTAGCTCTCACATCGGAGGAGGAGGAGGAGGAGGACAGTTATCAATGAGTGCGCGCTGGCGCCACCGCCGCCCTGCGTTTGCTGTTCTTTTTGTTTCGCCCGCCAGACATGCGGGAGAGGCGACGCTGCCAGTGCAGCGTCGCGCTGCCAGTGCAGCGCTTTGCCCCTTCCCTCAGGGCTCTCTTTGTATCCCGCAGAGGGCCTTGAGGGTTCCACCTTCGGCGTCGTGCATACGCGCCTGGGGGGCAAGCCTCTCGGGGCTGGCGGTTCGGTGGAGGAGGCGTTTAATCTTCAAATACGCGAGCGCGCGACGACGCACGCACGCATGCGCGCTGCGTTCGCATGGCGACGCCGCCCCATTTCGGCACACCCTTCACACGTTTCGTGGCCCCATAGGGAGCTCCACCGAAGGCCCCAGCGGCTGCGTTCGCATACGGTCACACCCCCATTTCGGCACGCCCCTCACACGTTTCGTGGCCCCACTGGGGGAGAAAGAAAGAGAGCAATAGAGAGAGAGAGAGAGAGAACAAACAATTGAGAGAGAGAGAGAGAGAGAGACAACTATCTTGGCGAAGGACCCAACCATATGCAGTTGTGAATGCAGCAGTTGGCATTAATCCCTTCGGTGGAGCTCCATAGCCGCATGCGAACGCAGCCGCTGCGGCCTTCGGTGGGGCTCCCTATGGGGCCACGAAGCGTTCGAGGAGTGTGCCGAAATGGGGGTGGAACCGCATGCGAACGCAGCCGCTGAGGCCTTCGGTGGAGCTCCCTATGGGCCACGAAACGTGTGAGGGGTGTGCCGACATGGGGTTGAACCGCATGCGAACGCAGGCACTGGGGCTTTCGGCGGAGCTCCATACCTTTTTCTTTTGTATTTCTGGTTCTGCGTTCCTTTCTCTGCCACTCCAGGGGAAGGCCGTCGCCTTCAAGAACGGCCAGGCGCCAGGCCTTGAAGGGTGTCTAGCTCCCCCTCATTGCCCACCCCGGCTCGATCGAGTACACCACCAAGGTGGGCCCCAACGGCGTGCAACCTAAAAAGATCGCGAAGCACGATCTCCTCATCAGGGCGACGCGGAGGTTGTCCTCCGCCGTGACGCCGACTGCGGCCAAGGACGCGTCGGGGGCGGGCGGAGGCGGCGGGCTCGGGGGAGGCGAAGAGGAGGGGAGGGGGAAAAGACAGGGGAGGGGTGTGGGAGGAGGCAGAAGATGATGAGAGGGGGGAGGGGAGGATAATAGAATAAAGGATGGCGGATGAGAGGAGGAGATGGAGGGAGGTGGAGATAGGAAAGGGAAGAGGGCGAGGGAGGAGACTAGGATAGGACATGGAGGAAGCCCCCCACGCCCCTTGCCAGAGGACGCGCTGCATGCGATCGCGTCCGAGAGGGAGGAGGCCTGGCACCTAGGCGACGGCAAGGACATGTAGGTCGAGGCTACCTCCCTCATGATCCGCACCATGCTGCGCCACGTGGCGGTAGCGGTTGGGCAGAGGACCGACGGGCTCTGGAGAAACTCGTCGCAACGGGAAGGGTGGGCGGGAAACGGGATTTGAATTTGGAGGGGGGAGGGCCAGCGGCGTCGGGAAAGGAGTCAGGGGTCAGAGAAGAGTCGACGGTAGGAGCCAAGAAGGGAGAGGGAGGGCGGGGGAGATGGGACAGAGACGGGCGGAGGTGGGTGGGCCGGCAGCGAACGGAGTGGGGGGTTGCGGAGAGAAGCAGGCTAGGCGCGCTCGCGCCACGTTTGACATCACACCCCTCCCGCCGCGAACCCATTTCCGTTGCGACGGGTTTCCCGTGCGCCTGCCAGGAAGCCGCCGCGGTGGGCCATCCCGTTCGCCGCGGGCAGAGGCGAGCCAGCCGAGAAGATCGAGGAAGCCGAGGAGGGCGAGAGCGAGGAGGCCGAGGAGGCCGAGGAGGCCGAAGGGGCAGAGGAGGCAGAGGAGGCCGCTGCTGCTCCGGCTCCAGCGGCGGCGGCTCCAGCGGCGGTGGCGGGGACGCAGCCGGCGGCAGTGTGCTCGGCTCGGATGGGGCGCCGCAGCATGGGCAACAAGGTTGGCCTCGCGACGCTCGAGCAGCGGGACGGCTACTCCTTCGGCTACGACGACAAGATGGAGGCTGGCCGCACCGCTCACAACGCCCCCCACCATCCCAGAAGGGGATGGGATCGGCGGAGGATGGACGAAAAGGTGGAGGACAGACAGGAAGAGGGAGAAAGGAGGAGGAGGAGGAGGAGGAGGAGGAGGAGGAGGAGGAGGAGGAGGAGGAGGAGGAGGAGGAGGAGGAGGAGGAGCGAGGGAGAAAGAGGAGGAGGAGGAAGAGGAGGAGGAGGAGGAGGAGGAGGAGGAGGAAGAGGAGGAGGAGGAGGAGGAGGAGGAGGAGGAGGAGGAGGAGGAAGCGTTCCAGCCGCTGCGAGGCTGCGTGGCACGTCCTTGACGGCATTGGCAACCCGCCCGAGTTGGCGGTGGCGCGCGCCCAGGGGGAGGCGCTGGTCGCCAAGTGGCCAGACGGCCTCGAGTGGGTGGTGACGGGCGCCCACGGCGTCGACGGCCGCAAGGCCAAGCAGGAGCCCACGGAGCTGGCGCGGACCACCAAGGGCGAGGAGAAGCTCTGGCTCAGCCTCGTCAGCAACGCGGTCAAGGAGGATCGGTGGCTCGTGATCTGGTCCTAGCACCAGACGAAGAAGGGGGTCAAGCAGTTGGTCCAGCTCCGCTCGTACGAGGACGAGAAGGCCGCGGTGGCGTTCCTCAAGCAGATGATGCAGGGCTGCGCGGACGGCAAGCTCAGCAAGGACGACATCGAGGACGAGAAGACGGCGTGGCTGAAGCAGAACGGCACTGCGAAGGCGAAGGCAAAATCGAAGAAGGTGGACGCTGACTTGAAGCCGGTGCCGAAGACGAATGCGAAGGCGATGCAGAAGCAGGCGACTTGGCGAGGGATGAGTGAGGATGTCTGAGAGGGAGAGGCGGAGGCGGGAGAGGAGGGTCGGAGGAGACGTGGGAGGCGGAGCAGGAGGAGGATCGGGGAGCGGGATCCGATCGATTCGATCCGATCCGAGCGCGAGTCGCGTCGATTCGATCCGAGTGCGAGTTTGATTCGAGTGCGAGTTCGAGTCGAGTGGACGAGTGCGAGTCGAGTCGATTCGATCCGAGTGGGCGAGTGCGAGTCGAATGGATTCGATTCGAGTGCGGGGTCGAGTCGAGTCGATCCGAGTGCGAGTTCGAGTCGAATGCGAGTTCGAGTAGATTCGATTGGGGGACGATGAGCTTTTCGCGCGGTGTTTTCGATCAGCCAGGCTGCCGTCGACGACGACTCCGACAACGAGGGCGCGGAGGACGCCCCGAACGACGGCATCGGCGACAAGGACATCGGCGCGGACGACGATGTTGAGGAGCAGAGCGAGGATAAGGCAGCTTCAGGAGACGAGGCCGACCAGGACATCGACGCGCACATGGCCGCAGTCGCTTCGCAGCCGCCCGAGCAGACCAAGGCCGACGACAAGAGACTCGCGACGGAAATGGCTGTGATCACGATGCACGGCTTGGGCGTTGACGAGGAGCGACTGGGGGCCAATACCGCTGCCGCGGCCAAGGCGATGGCGAAGGAGAAGTGGGCGAGGGCAGCGGCAGCCCTCGCTACCAGCGAGGAGACAGCGGCGGCGGCGGCCAGCAGCCGACGGAGCGCCCAGCGAAGAAGCAGAGGCCCACGCCGTCGCAGGAGGCCGCCTCTTCGGCCCGTTCCAGGCGCTGCTCGGCGGCCTCGGGCGCGAAGGAGACGTTCGCGGCCGCGGACGTGAGCGGCGGCATTTCGTCGGGCCTCTTCAACAATTTGTGATCGTGCTCGGCGGCGCCCAGGTCTCGAGCGCGGTCGCCAGCGCGCGGGTGCGACGCAATGCGCATCATGCATTGCGCATTTCCTTTTGATGAGGAAACATGCACAATAGGGTCTCTGGGGAAATACTGGATAAAGAGTAGGAGGACTAGCAAGTGGAAGAGGATGAGGAATTGTATCGGACAAAAAGCGATTGGACAGTTTCGGCGATTCGCGCAATGAGAAGCTGCCGATTCGCTAGGAATCGCGAAATCGCGAATTGGCCATGATGTCCAACCGTGTTTTTCCCAACCATCCTGTGGTGTTGGGTCCTCCATCTCAAAGGCCTCGCGGGGCGTCTTGGGGGCCTCCATGGCAGTTTAAAAGGCATCGTGCGTCGCCAGGGACCACTGGACGGCGTCTTGGGGGTGTTTTGAGACCGTCTGGGGCCGCCAAGATTGCTGTCTGAGGGCTCCCCGAGGCGATTTTGGCCTCCCAAAGGCGGGCCCGGGCCCCGGTGCCCACATTTGCGGTCGAAGTTCCGGCCCTCGGCCCCCGGGCCCAGTGCGCCGTTATATGTATAAATGTATATAGTGTGTGAGAGAGAGGATGGGACAGAGAGAGTGAAATAGAGAGTGGGAGAAAGAGAGAGAGAGAGAGAGAGCAAAGGAGAGGAGGAGAGAGAAAGAGAGTCAGAGAGACAAAGATCATGTCACCCCCGATCGCCGCCAGCGGATGATGTTTGCAGCGAAGGAGCCAGCGAGGTGTGCGCTCCGATCGGCCACGGCGGGCGCATCGCGGCTCAACCGAACAGGTCGAAGTCCACGTCCTCTTCTTCCTCCTCCTCCTCGACCTCGTTCGCGGGAGGCACGGGGGACAGGGCCGTCCACGGCGACGGCCCAACCGAAAACCGACCGAACCGAAAACGATACCGAAACCGACTTAAAAGCAACGGTCCGCGGACAACCTTTCGGTGCGCAGCGAGACGCGGCACTGGCCCAACGACCGACCGAACCGAACCGACCGAACGTAAACAACCGCGACGCAGCCGAACTGACCAGACCCTGGACACCCTTGGAGCAGGCTCCGAGCTTCAACTTCCAACGTCCAAAGAGCAAGCTGCGCCTGTTGCCTCTCGCAGTTTTCGGCGTCCGGAGGCCGTCCTCAGGCCGTGTGGCAATCAACGGCTCGGGATGAAAAGCCGCTCCTGGGGAATGATGAGTCGAGAGGTCTGCACACCCACGTTGTGAACAAACATCGTCACGTCTGAGGTCTGGGAGAGGGGCGGGCGGGCAGGAGGTTCCTCCTCCTCCTCCTCCTTTCCTGGGCCTTCGAGGGTCTCCGTGTTCGCCATGCCATGGCTGGACACGGCTCGCAAAACGGATCAAGATGGTGCCTGCGGATTGGTTTTGAGCAGCCCCTTCGCCGGCTCAAGGAAAGAGGAGTGGGGTGAGGTAGAAGAAGGGAGGCTTTAGGGGCCTTGGGTGGGCGCCGTCAGGTTCCAGGAATCTCTGGTGGCCCCTGGGGGCCAGGAGGACGAGCGGGGGAGGCAGGGTAGCCCGAATCGAGCCCCAATCGTGGAGGAGCCGCCCTTGGGGGATGTGCAGTCGAATCGATCGATGCCGCGCGTAGACATCGGCAAACGTCATCGAATGGATCCGATTCCCAACATCCGACGTCGTGAACAGACATGATCGACCCACGAACCCGGAAAACAATTCAGACATGTGAGGGTATAACAACTTTTTCCAGGCACCTGATTGGGCGACGTGATGTACCGTGCCAAGGGTTGTGCTGCACAATGCTGACATGAGATGTGTCATGCCGCGATGAACTGCGCTGTGCTCTATCGCGTTGTGGATCAAGTCGCCCTTGGCATCCGAATCCTGACCGAACTGATCTGAATCTTAAGCTCGAGCTACCTGAGCACATAGCTGGTTGCAATCGAAACGTGCGGGACGCTCAATCAGCTCGAGCTCAAGATCCGACTCAGTTCCGAAGCGGGTCGAGACGACACAAAGCGCAAGGCGCATGGACGCGCACGGGATGTGCCAGGGGCGCACTAGGGGATGCGTCAAAGGGACGTGTCAGAGGACGTGGCAAGGGACGCGCCACGGAACGGGCAGGGGAAGCGCAAGGGGACAAGCCAAGGAACGCAACAGAGGACGAGCCACGGGACACGCCACGGGAAGCGCCGATGGGGGGAGGGGCATACGCCGTCCCGCTCTGGGGCAATAGGAACCCATGTGCTTTCACGCTTGCCCCGCTCGTGGGCGTCAGGAAGCCATGTGTTTTCACGCTTGACCAACCCTGGGGTTTCAAGCTTGTACCGCCCTGGGGCGTTAGGAGCCGCAATGTTTTGTCCCGCCCTGGGGCGCCAAGAGCCCACGTGTTTTCACGCTTGTCCCGCTGTGGGGCGTTAGGGACCCATGTGCTTTCACGTTTGTCCCGCTCTGAGGCGTTAGGAACCCACTGGTGTTCACGCTTGTCCCGCCCTGGGCCATTAGGAACCCCAGTGGTTTCGCGCTTGTCCCGCTTTTGGACGGGCAGCCTGGGTAGGAGCCGAATCGTTTTGTCCCGCTCTGGGGCGCCAAAAACCCACCTGTTTTCACGCTTGTCCCGCTCTGGGGCGTTAGGAACCCCCGTGCTTTCACGCTTGACCCGCCCTGGGGCGTTAGAACCCATGTGCTTTCACGTTTGTCCCGCTCTGGGGCGTTGGAAACCCACTGGTGTTCACGCTTGTCCCGCTCTGGGGAATTGAGAACCCATGTGTTTTCGTGCTTGTCCCGCTCTGGGGCGTCAAGAACCCATGTGTTTTCACGCTTAACCCGCCCTGGGGCGTTAGGAACCATGTGTCTTCAAGCTTGTTCTGCTCTGGGGCGTCAGGAGCCGAAGTGTTTTGTCCCGCCCTGGGGCGTTAGGAACCTACGTGTTTTCAAGCTTGTCCCGCTCTGGGGCGTTAGGAACCTACGTGCTTTCACGCTTGTCCCGCTCTGGGGCGTTAGGAACCCACCGGTGCTTTCACGTTTGTCCCGTTTGGGGGCGTTAGGAGCCCACTGGCGTTCACGATTGTCCCGGTCCAGGGCATTAGGAACCCCCGTGTTTTCGCGCTTCTCCCGCCCTGGGGGGTCAGGAACCCATGCGTTTTCACGCTTAAGCCGCCCTGGTGCATTAGGAACCATGTGTTTTCAAGCTCGTTCCATTCTGGGGCGTTGGAACCGAAGTGTGTCCCGCTCTGGGGCGCCAAGAACCCATGTGGTTTAACGCTTGTCCCACTCTGGGGCGTTAGGAGCTCACCGCTGTTCACGCTTGTCCCGCCCTGGGGCCTTAGGAACTCACATTTTTTCATGCCTTCACGCTTGACCCGCTCTGGGGCGTTAGGAACCCATGTGCTTTAACGTTTGTCCCGCCCTGGGGCGTTAAGAACCCACCGGTGTTCACGCTTGTCCCGCTCTGGGGCCTTAGGAACCCAAGTGTTTTGGTGTTTGTCCCGCTCTGGGGCGTCAGGAACCCATGTGGTTTCACGCTTGACCCGCCCTGGGCCGTTAGGAACAATGTGTTTTCGAGCTTGTTTCGCTCCGGGGCGTGAAAAGCCGAAGTCGTTTGTCCCGCTTTGGGGCGCCAGCCAACGTGTTTTCACGCTTGTCCCACTCTCGGGCGTTAGAAGCCCACGTGCTTTCACGCTTCACCCGCTCTGGCGCGTTAGGAACCCATGTGCTTTCACGTTTGTCCCGCTCTGGGGCGTTTGGAGCCCACTTGTGTTCACGATTGTTCCGCTGTAGGGCATTAGGAACCCAATTTTTTTCGTGCTTGTTCCGCTCTTGGGCGTTAAGAACCCATGTGGTTTCACGCTTGGCCCGCCTTGGGGCGTTAAGAGCCATGTGTGATCAAGCTTGCTCCGCTTTGGGGCGTTAGGAACCGAAGTGTTTTGTCCCGCTCTGGAACGCCATGAACCCATGTGATTTCATGCTTGTCCCGCTCTGGGGCGTGTAGAGATACTTTTTTGGTTCGCGGCTCCAAGGCGAGAGACATGGAGCGAGCACAACGTCCAGGGCGCGGTGCGTAGATAATTGGCGCGAGATTGCCGCGGATTCCAGCGAACAACACACGCAACGGCACATGCACATGCCAGGGACAAAATGCCCCTCATGGAGACGCATTTCAGCGTCTGCTGGTGACCGGCCCAGACAGCCCGGCTGGTGGGGAAGCAAAAGGCGCGGCTTCTGGCAACGGAACGGGGGGGAGAAGTCGCCCTTGCGGCGCCAAGCTCCAGCCGAACCGCAATCGGAAGCGAGGCTAAGACGGACAGCAAGGCACTGTACTAAGACGCGGGCAGAACGCGAGTCCGAGCGGCCAGTGACCAGACGGAACCCACGTGTGTGCACACTGAGCCAGGCCGTCCAAGACCTCGGAAAAAGCGGGGCGAGCGCGAGCGAGAGCAACAAACTCAGACTCACTGCCGCTCCACAAGCATACGATGATGCGGCGAGGGTGACCCGACTCACCAAGGCTCACTGAAGCTGAGGTGTGGCTGATCCGCGTCAGAGCGCCATCCAGTAAGAGGCAGACCACTGGTGTGCGTTCACGAGGCTGAGCAACCTCCAGCCGGTAGCCTGTGCGCTTACATCGTATCCGAATCACGCTGTTCGGGGGCACAACCATGCAATGTACTGGCGAGGGCTGGTGGCTGTGGCTGCGCCGAGAAGAGTGAAGCGAACTCGGACCGCAGAAGGCTGAACCACTCAATGCAGGGCCGTTCACTTTGACGAAGCCAATTGCCATGTGTATAGCGGACAGCCGCGCCCACTCAACACCTGTCACGCTGCCCGTGCAGAAGCCGAATGCCTCCGACGCCAGGGCGAACCGATGGCTGGCAGTTGCAGAGCTGCTGGGCCGTGCCGTTCGTTGGCGGCGTGCTGACGGCGGGCCAAGACGTCCTTGTAGTAAAACCATGGCCAGGTCGGCGACGAAGGAAGGCGTTCCCAGGGCAGGTCTCAGAGCAGGGGGGGGGGGGCGCAGCCAGAAGCCGCTGAACACGAGTGTCAATGAGGGGTGTCCGAGCACCATCCAGGAAGAGGCAGACCACTGGTGTGCGTTCACGAGGCTGAGCAACCTCCAGCCGGTAGCCTGTGCGCTTACATCGTTTCCGAATCACGCTGTTCGGGGGCACAACGATGCAATGTACTGACGAGGGCTGGGGCTGTGGCTGCGCCGAGAAGAGCGTAACGAACTCGGACCGCAGAAGGCTGAACCGCTCGATGCGGGTCCGTTCACTTTGACGAAGCCAATCACCATGTGCATGGCGGACAGCCGCGCCCACTCAACACCTGCCGCGCTGCCCGTGCAGAAGCCAAATACCTCCGACGCCGGGGCGAACCGATGGCTGGCAGCTGTGGAGCTGCTGGGCCGCACCGTTCGCTGGCGGCGTGCTGGCGGCGGGCAAAGACGTCCTTGTAGTAGAACCATGGCCGGGTCGGCGACGAAGGAGGGGCCGCTGTTCCCTGGGCAGGTCTCAGGGCAGACGCGCTTCCGCGGCCGGCGCGGGGGGGGGGCGCAGCCAAAAGCCGCTGAGACGAGTGCCAATGAGGGGGGGGGGGAGAAGGAGGGGGCGCAGCCAAAAGCCGCTGGGCGCAGATTAAGATGGGAAGTGGCCGGCGGCCGCGCTGCCGCCTGAGACAACTTATTCCAGGGGCGGGAGCGTCTTGGCGGGGAGGTGCCGCGCCACTGCGTGACGAACGCGCCTGTCCCCGTGAAGGGTGTACAAGGCGCGGCCAGCGTGGCCCCCGTGCCTCGCGCAGAGCACCCATGCACTGTACCTCTTGTCCACGGGGGGGCGAGGCTGCACGCGGATGG